TAATCTTTCTGAAACCCTCGCTGCCGGTTGTGTACGCCTTCTCATCTCGCCAGTCGCCGCCCACCACTGCCTTCGTCCGCCACCGGAAAGCAGCAACCTCCACCGCCTTCGCCCACTAACGGAAAAGCAGCAATCTCTTAAGTCTCCATCTCAATTCTCAGGTTGTTTGCCTTTGTTTTTTAAAATAAAAATTAGAACCTTGATATAATTGAAATACAAATGAAATGGAAGATGATGGGTGGTACAGACTGTTTATTCACGTATTGGAATTACTGTATTTTTTCCTTTTACCGGCAAGCCTCTGTTTCCGTATTGCTTTGTAGCTCTTGTGGAGATAATTGAATTTAAAACCAAACCAAGAATGCAAGACAAGGAAAAATCAAAGCAAACCAAAACTAAAACCCTCTGCTCAACATACCAATTCTTTGACAAGATGTCATCTCTCTATCTCCTATTTGTTGACATTAACTACAAAAAATTTAGAAAAATCATCCAGTTTCTCTCTCCTCCAAACCCTAGATCTAGGACTGGAAATTATTATTTATTTCAGGACTTAGCTGGGTAAATTTCATCTTCACTGTTATGATTATGTTGAAATTTGTTACGGGATCTTTCGAGAGTTCAATCATCGTTTCCTTTTTTTTTCAATTTATTTTCTGATTTAAGTTTTGGTTGGCTGGAATAATTGTCGTATTAGATATTCTTGCAGAGCTTATTGCTTCATTGCAGTAGGTTTTATTTTTATGTAGCTTAGAGTGAATTTTCTTTGTTTAGATCCCATGTGTTTAAGAAAATATGGGTTTTGAGAAAGGATTTAGGGGAGTGATTCTTAGCTCGATACAAGATGTGGGATCCCATAAAATGGCTTGATTAGTCCAAAATAGGTGTGTAATATGATTTCAAACCATGGTATCCTAGCTAACTCGAGGGATTTGTTGTGGTAGATTTATAATCATTTCCGTCGAATTCTCCTATTCAAATGGATTGTAAAGGGAATATTGTCGTACTATGTTCACTACTTCAGTTTAATTCAATACGGTGCTATGATGTGATTGAAATAAGACAACTTGACTTTAAAGATTTGATAACTGTAAAGTAAAAGTTGAACAGCTTTTTATGGTGATAGATGGTAAAGCCCTGTTGCAAACTTGTTAGATGATGCATGAATTTTCGATGAGAGCAAACTGATAGTAATAATAACCAACTTATAAGGTCGATATCATTTTCAAAGTGCTAAATTTCATGAGGTGGTTCTATTATTTGCACAACTATGATCTATATTTTTCGTATATTTATTTTTTTATTTTCCTAATACGTTGGTTCATGCTTTTTGCAGACATTTATATCTGATATAAAAAGATGCCGAGACAGAGTTCAACCAAGAAGCCAGCTAAGCATTCACCCGAGGGACCCACCTCCGAACCGGAAAAGCCCTCTGTTAAGCCCAAGAAGATGGGTTCGGAGATTGACGATATTTTTGCAGCAGCGAAAAAGAGAAAGAGAGCCGAAGAGGGCAAAAAGGCCCATAACAAGAAACCAGGAAAAGTAGATGCTAAATCACATGATGGGCTGAGGAGAGAAAATAATGAGAAGAAAAAATCTTCGAAAGAAAGCGGGCCTGTTAGGCCCACTTCTCGGTCGAGGAAAAAGACTGCAGATGGGCTAACTATTTACACAGAAGAGGAGTTGGGCATTGGTAAAGCAGATGCCGGAGGTACCCATTTGTGCCCATTTGATTGCGACTGTTGTTTTTGATATTTTGATAAGTGGCTAACTTTTTTGATATATTTTTAGTGACCCGTCATCTTGAATGAATATTTCACGAGCCCTTGTTGTTGTGAGCTTGTATTCCCTTGTTAATGGTTGGCGTGTTACGAAATTGTGCATTCTTCGGTATTTGTTCCAGTCATTTGTAACACTTGAAGCTGCTTTTAACCAGAGTTTAATGGTATTACATAGTTGCATCTTAGTTATGTTGTACTGTACACAAATTCTTGTGTGAGGCGGCTTCAAAACGGCAATTAATTAGAATTTATGCTTTGATGAAAAGCTGGTATTTGGTTAATTCAGAGTTGACAGTTGAACTTGAAGGACTTTCGAGAAGTTGATAAATTTGATAGATCTGCAGATTATAGTTCAATTAAAACCGCAGTCATTTGGTGTTAGCTTTGTGTAACCTATGGTGAAAATAGTGCTTTGACTAAGTTATGTTTGGAGAATAAAAAAAAGTTATAAAATGCCCTTGTCATAATCTGTGAATCAACTGAGCTAAGAGAAAAATGACTTGCAGAAAATTTGAATATAGAATATGATGGTCTAAGAGGACTTTGCTCATTTTACTTCCTCCTTTTTTAGCTGCGCAATCTTTTTCATTTTCCTAATTCAACTCTTATAAAATTCCAGTGTCATTTTCATTTGATTAAATCAACCAAGGAAGAAGGAAAAAAATCAACTCTTTATAACAAAGTCTATTGAAGAAAAGCTGACAAGTAATGCATTATAACCAAACAATGTGCTCTCCACAAATATTCTTTCCCCTTTTTTTTCATAGTGGAAATAAATTATATTTCACCAACACCTATCCCTTGGGACTTTTTTTGTATCTATTTATTTTGTAAGTGGGCATTAGTAATTTCACTAGGATTAAAAATGGCGCATTTCATCTTTTCATCATTAAGCAAGACTCATTGTGACATTACATTAAAGATGGGTTATGCTATATATGAATATAATAATTGATATACATTTTGACATTTATTTTACTCATATATTATTTTTAAAATCAACAAATGCTATTGTTATAGATTCTCCATGTCAAACTTTGTGTTCTTATTATTTTTTATGTTAAAGTAGCATTTTCAATAAGGGTTACAATTTAAGGGTCGACATTTTTTAAATACAATGTGTTCCATTTTTTTAAATGGATGGTTTTAAGAACTAACAATAAATAAGGTATATGAACTGGCAATTTAATAATTCAGCATTAATTAAGCCATACTATTGCAAATTCGAGGTGTAGGCCAATTGATGAATTAGTTGGA